ATAGATAGATAGATAGATAGAATAGATAGATTAGCTCAGCAGGTGGCCGCCCTGTGTGTGTGTGTGTGTTGAGAGAGAGAGAGAGAGAGAGAGAGAGAGAGAGAGAGAGAGAGAGAGAACGAACAGGAAGATTAGATAGATAGATAGAGAGAGAGATAGAGAGATAGATTAAATACTCCCAGTGTCTCTGATAAATAGGGAACCCACGTGCGTGACTACCCTCCCCGCCGCTCTTCTTGATAGCTCCGTGGGAAATCAACCCACCCAGGAGTCCGGCTTAAGCGGCCTGAGAGCTTCCTGAGCCCAGGGAAGCATTTCAAGAGACTGGTCCTCATTGAGGCGGACGCCACGATCCTTCTTCAAGCCACTGAAAAATCTCAGATCTCCTTCTTTTCATCTCCCTCCCCCCCGTCGGTGGGACGCGCCGCTTAAACCCGGTTTAGCCCCGCACGGGATCAGACCCACGCCGTGCCCGCCCCCACCCCGAAGCTCAAGCGAAACCCGCGTGTTCCCCTTGCATAACCGGGTTTTGCACGGGTCCGGTTCACACGAAGCGCAGGGAGAATCAGGATCGCAGGTCTGCTGGTGAGAGAAGCGGACCGCAACGGGATGCTTACCTGCTCGTCTCCGCCGGGAGATGCCCACTCCCGGCCAGGGCTCTCGGTCCGGTCCGGACAGCCCCCGTCCCGCCGCCATCCACGGCTCCGCTAAGGGCTAACTTTGCGCGACGCGAAGCTTTGCAACGCGGCGCCCGCGGGTGACCGGGCGCTGCGCGCTCTCTCTCTCTCTCTCTCTCCCCTTGCACTCCGTGCAATTTACTCCGCGGCTGCTCCGAAGCGCAAATCCGATCCTCTTTTTTGCATCTGCTCCAAATCCCGATTCGGAGCGACTTCGCTTTGCTAGAAAACCAAGCAGGCGCTCAAAGTGGGAAACTCCTGTCCGGGGGGGGGGGGCGTGCGGGGAGGAAAGTTCCCACACAATGGAGGGGCGGGGGCTTCGCTCTGCTGCTCCCCCCTCCCACTCCCCAGCCTCTTGGTTGCCCGGGACAACGGCCAATCCCCTGCCCGAAAGCGTTCCTTGCGCCTTCCGAATGCACCAATCGCCGGCAGGCAAAGGCAGGACATGGGTGCTTTAAAAGGGGAGCTGGAAAGGGGAGGGGGGCGTGTCTTGGTACCTGGGGGGGAGGGATTTAATGTCGCAAAGGTGTCTGGGAGCTGTAGTTTTTTTCTCTCCCCACGGGAGTGGTGGGGCAGAAAGTCTAGAGCGGTTCCACTAAACCGGTGCTTTTTTCTCAACTTTGGCAAACTTTAAGATGTCAAGATAATCCATCCTTCCCAGGTGGGTAAAATGAGGATCCAGATTTTGGGGGGAAAGAGGCTGACTCTGTAAACCACTTAGGTAAAGGTATAGGCTCCCCTGGTACATATGTGCTAGCTGTTCCTGACTCTAGGGGGCAGTGCTCATCTCCGTTTCAAAGCCGAAGAGCCAGCGCTGTCCGAAGATGTCTCCGTGGTCATGTGGCCGGCATGACTCAATGCCGAAGGCGCACGGAACACTGTTATTACCTTCCCACCAAAGGTGGCTCCTATTTTTCTACTTGCATTTTTNGAAAGAAAGAAAGAAAAGAATGAAAGAAAAGAAAGAAAAGAAAAGAAAGAAAGAAAAGAAAGAAAGAAAGAAAAGAAAGAAAGAAAGAAAAGAAAAGAAAGAAAAGAAAGAAAAGAAAGAAAAGAAAGAAAAGAAAGTAAGAAAGAAAAGAAAGAAAAGAAAGAAAGAAAGAGAGAGAAAGAGAGAGAGAGGGAGGGAAGGAGGAAGGGTGATGGAGGGCATGGCCTAATTGGCGAGCGGTAGGGCTGGGCAGCTTTGTCCTGGAGGCCCCGTGTGTCGCACGCCTGCTAAATTTGGCGTGCAGTTTTGTGACATGACGGGGAAGCCTTGGAAAGGAGGAGAAAAAAGATTGCTCACGCCTCACCCCGCTCACCCAACAGCATCCCAAAACGCAGGTTTCCTCTGCTGCTCCATAACTCATATCTTGATTTGGTTTTTAAAAAAGAGGGCACCGCCCTCTTCGCTCCGGGGTGTCTAGCTAATTGCACGGTGCAGGTGTTATTTCCCCCCTCTTCCTTCCTGATGAGGCTCTTAGAAGGCCGGTGGCATCCGTCCTGGCAAGGCACAAAGCCGAGCGCTCACCGAGGCATCGCCGGAGTGGAACGAGGTACCCGCTGCAGATCCTGGCAAGGCACAAGGGGAGCAGGAGAGAGACGGGGCAGCAGAAAATCCCTTTGCAAGCAAGAGATTGTAGACATCTGGCAAGTCAAGGCGAGCCTTTCCCCCCCCCTTGACACTCTACATTTCTGCTTGCAAGGATTTGGATGTTAATTTGGAGTAGTGGGAGAGAGTTTTGCTATGCAGGCTGGGCTGAAATCATTTAGGCGCAGTTAAAAAGCAGTGGGAAGACTGAAGGTGGCACTTTAATCTTGTCGTACGATGTGCAAAAATCGTATTTAAGGATGGGTGCTCCAAATACGAGTCAAATTAATTCTCTGCAATCTAGTTCTTTCAAACAGGGTATGTGTTTGTGCATTTGTGTGTGTGTTTGTGTGTGTGTGTGTGTGTAAGGAAGCGTAGAATAGAATTATAATTTCGGGCATTCGTGTAATTTGATCCTGAAATTTGACCTGGCTATTCAGCAGGCAGCCTAATTTACACCAACGGGGTTCAGTTTCCAGGTTTATTGAGTTGTTTGATGGCGGTTTGTTGATTCGATTTGTCAGAAACGGTCCCTGCTGCGGACACAACTTTTTATAACGACGGCTCAAGTGTTTCGGGGTTACGACGTAAAGCTTGTATTGTAATTTTCTGGTTCTAGGTATCCAGATTTGGATGTACTAATGTTATAAGGAACAAAACTGGTTTAATTTTTATTTCTGATTTTTCCCCCCCATGTTTGACGGTTTGGGGATAAATCTATTTCCCCAGCCGATCGATATAGGGTTAGGGTTAGGGTTAGGGTTAGGGATATACTAAGGTAGTCCTCGACTTACGACCACAATTGGGTTGGGAAAATCAGTGTTGTTAAATCAGTGCAGTTGGTGAACGAGGTCTCGTGTGACTGCACACAATTTTACAACCTTTTCTGCTGCGGTCATTAAGTGAATCCCTATAGTCATTGCAGGAGACATGACAGTAGTTTTGTTTCTCGAAAGCCAAGGCGGGCAAGGTCGCAAATAACGACCAGGTGAGGCCGCGACCGCCATAACTACGTGACGGTTGCTAAATTTTGACCAGGTGAACTTGGGGGATGCTGCGGTGGTCGTAAGGGCGAAGATATAGTAATAAATAAATAAGTCACTTTTTTTCAGGCTGTTGTAACTTCAACCAGTCATTAAACAAATAGTTGTAAGTTGAGGACTATCCATACATATAAACGGAATAAAGACATCGACGGGGGACATAGAGGAATTTCTTGGGATCTGGTGCAATTCTTTTATTGCACCCCCCACTAATAATATTTTTCCCTCCATCACCTCCCCCCCCAAAAAAATAATTGGTTAGCAAAATGATGTGAAACTAAATAGAATGGCCAGGAAGAATTGGGAAGAACCACATATAGCTGTGATGATGGAAGAGAAATTGCATATTGAAAAGAACATGGGCCATGCCCGTTATAGTTATTCATTAGTTTTATTGTAGCTCATTTCCTTTTCGGGAATCAAGGCAGCATAAATAATATGCTTCCTATCCTAAATTTTTGCTAACAAGACAATCCTGCCAGGTAGGCTGGGCTGTTGTGTGAGAGAGGGAGAAAGGAAGAGAGGGGGGAGGGGAGGGAGGGAGAGGAATGGAGAGGGAGAAAAAGAGAGGGGGGAAGGAAAGAGAGAGGGAGGGTGAGAGAGTGGCAGAGCAGGAAAAGAGAGGGAGACAGGGAAGGAGAGAGGAAAGGAGAGGGAGGGAGAAAGAGGGAGAGAAGGGGAAAGAGAGGGAGGAAAAGAGAGAGGGATGGGGAGGGAGAAAAGGAGAGTGAAGGAGACAGACAGTGGGGGAGAAGGAAAGAGAGAAGGAGGGGCAAATGGAGGGAGAGAGACAGGGTGGGAGAGACAGAGGGGGCAGAGTGGGAAGGAAAGAGAGAGGGAAAGAGGGAAGGAGAGAGGGGGAGGGGAAAAGGGAGAGGAAGGGAAGGAGAGAGACAGTGGGAGAGAAGGAAAGAGAGAGGGAGAGGCAAAGGGAGGGAGAGAGACAGGGTGGGAGAGACAGAGGGCAGAGCAGGAAGGAAAAAGAGAAGGAAGGAGAGAGGGAGGGAGAGGAGGAGGGAAAAAGAGAGGAAGGGAAGGAGAGAGAGAGTGGGAGAGAAGGAAAGAGAGAGGAGGGGGAAGGAAAGGGAGAAAGGAGGGAGAGAGACAGGGTGGGAGAGACAGATGGGGACAGAGTGGGAAGGAAAGAGAGAAGGAAGGAGGGAGGGGGAGAGAGAGGTAGGGAAAAGAGAGGGAGAGGAAGGGAAGGAGAGAGACAGTGGGAGAGAAGAAAAGAGAGAGGGAGAGGCAAAGGGAGGGAGAGAGACAGGGTGGGAGAGACAGATGGGGACAGACCGGGAAGTAAAGAGAGAGGGAGAGAGGGAGGGAGAGAGCGGGGAGGGAAAAAAGAAGAAGAGGAAGGGAAGGAGAAAAACAGTAGGAGAGAAGGAAAGAGAGAGGGAGAGGCAAAGGGTGGGAGAAAGGGTGGGAGAGACAGAGCGGGACAGAGTGGGAAGGAAGACAGAGGGAGAGAGAGGAAGGGTGGAAGAAGAAAAGAAAGGGGGAGAGAGAGGGAGTGGGAGAGAGGGAAAGAGAGAGGGAGAGAGAGGGTGGAAGAAGAAAAGAGAGGGAGAGAGGGAGGGAGTGGGAAATAGGGGAAGAGAGAGGGAGAGGGAGGAAGGAAAAAGAAAAGAGAGGGAAAGAAATGTGGAGAGGGAGAGGGAGGGGAGGGAGGGAGGGAGGACAGGCCCAAAATCACCCTGGTTGCAGATTTGCCTTGAAATGCCACTGGTGTGAAATCACAACCTTCTTAAAACCAGCCATCAACTTAGCCTAAACTTCCGGAATGAAACTACTCTACCTCAAAATCTGGGACTGTGTGAGCCCAGTTCTCCCTCAACTAGGTGTGGGCTGAGAAACCGGTGTCATTTGCATTTCAATGCAATCTGACTTCATCTCGCATTTTTATCACCGCAGTTCAGCAACGAAAATTATGTTCCCAAACCGGGGCTCGGCGAGGCATGCCACGCCGCCCACTTTTTGTCCCCAAAAATCGGAGCCACGCCAAGCCTCCGTTCGTTTCGGATCTTGGCAACTGATCGGCTCACAAAAGTAGCGGGTTAATAGGATCTGTGCAAATTCAGAGATTTGCAAAGTTTGCAAGGACAATGCCCGCCAGACGGTCATGTGAGAAAGCGAGAATTCTCTTTAAAAAATGAACAAAAAACAGAGATTATTTCCTTAACTGGAGCCGCATGTGGCTCTTTCGTCCCTCTGCTGTGGCTCCCTTTCGCAGCAGGAGGACGAAAGAGCCACATGCGGCTCCAGTTAAGGGAAGAATCTGGTTTTTTGTTCATTTTTCTATGTGTCACGACCGACAATGTGCGACACCCGCTGGCACGTGATTTATTGAGCTTTGCAATGCCCCGGTCAGCCAATCATGGTTAAATCCCAGAAAAGAAGAGTTGCAGAAGAAAACAATGTTTAATTCAACTACATTGTGGCCGCTCAGGAAATAGTCAGGCACGGGAGGGGATTTGTGGCTCCCTGTGTGTTTTTTTTTCCTGTGGGAAATTCTCTTAGAATGTTTAAGGATGCCGACCTTGCCTTCACCGTATTCTTAAAAAACAACGAGAAACTGAAATTGACTGATGGCCAAGGGAATTGACTGGTGGCCAAGG